TCTCCAGTGTCAAACCAGCCCTCAGTGCTCTGCAGACGGGAAACCACTGCTGAGACCCACTAAAAGCAGTCAGAGGCTTTGCATGAGCATTTACAACTAGAGCATCTGAATGCCTCTTTAAGTGCAAAACCACACCACATACACTTATGCAGCAACAATGCATTCAGACTGTTCTTATTCATCATTAGTAGTCAACTTGCATAAAACATCCAAAAAAAGGCAGAATGGAGCTCACAAAATCGGCTAAACAATAAACCTATCCTTGCAAAACACACTGTGATGGAAGAGACTTTTTTTTTTAAGTATTATGTACACTACAGAAGCTGGGTTCATTCCAGCCACCTCAAGTGACCCAATCTGTGGCTAAATTCTTTTACAAGGTTTCATTCAGGTGCCACCTCCTCTGGGAAGCCTTTCCTTATTCCTCCTAAGCTGGACTGGTTGTCCTTCCATGTTCCTCCAGCATCTTGTGTGCCCCTATTTCGAGGCTCTGGACCCACAGTATTGTAACTATTTACTTGTCTACTTCAGAAGTCTGTGAATGGATCCCTAAATTTCCATGCTTAACATGATACCACATAGTGTGGGCTCAGTAAAAGTGTGTTGAAAGGACAAATAATTGACTTACCATTGATTCAAGGAAATGTATAAGGTTCTTGTCCCATCTACATTAGAATTTGCCCTTGAGTCTGTGTTGGAAGCCGTTAGACAACCTTAAATTACTTAAAAGACCCCAAACTTATCTTGTATCCTAAATAAGTTAGCTTCTTAAATTTTTTAAAAGTAGAAATGTACCTTTTGTTTGGTTACGCTGTATCAGTACTAATACAATAGAAATATTTTGTATTTATTATAACCTTTTAGACAGTGGTGATTATGTCTTTAGATTAAATTTGGGGGATATAAGTGACTATGAATCTATCCATTGTGACTTGAGCTTTATTATTATTATTATTATTATTATTATTATTTTTGGTTTTCCTTAATGTACAATAGAGGGGACTTTCTTCTGCCTTCTAATAAATCAACATTGATTAATGCTAATTCAATTACATGGCTCTTTTTAAATCATGGATTTGTATAGATTTAAATATATACCATACAAATTGAATGCCTGATGTTTTAATGGGGTTATGACATGTTGTTTTTGTGTAACCTAACCTTACTGAAGGATTTAGAAATATTAACCCTTTTAATAGTGGTCTATATTTTTGAAGGATCATTTTACTTTCGAGGGAAAACAAATAATTAACTGACCATCATGCTGATTTTTTTCATGCCATCAAAGCAGGTTCTAAACTATTCTTTAACTGATCCATTCATTTGGTAACCAGTTTACTGCATGAATTCAACTTTTTAATTTTTCTAATAGATTATGATTTTATACAAAATTAGCCAATCAAATTTTTAACCACTGTGGTCACCACATTAATTATTGCAACCTCTAAAGTTCCTCATTTTTATGGGTACTCCTTTCCCCCTATTTGCAAAGATATACAATATTTTCAGCAAAAGGGGAAACAATAGTAGCCAATCTCTTAAAATATTCATTTAGTCTATAAAAAAGTAAAAGAAAAAAATCCCTGTTTTATTGGTTAACACAATTCCGTATTTCTTTTGTCTGAATAACAACTTGGAAACACTATAAAACATCAAGAAGTAATAAAATCTTTCATGAGACAAGCTTTTTAGCAAAAATAGTCTCCAGAACTAAACTTGAAAGGAAGTTCTTAAGCTTTTTTATGGTCCTACTCTTGATTAACACATTGTGTTAAATGAGTACTGAGGATCGATAGTTCCTTTCTCTTTCCCCCCCCCCTAATGAAAGACTATCTGCTGAAACTATCTCTGCTTATCTTAGGTGCACCACCCCAGTATTTTTAAGTGACTGTAACATTCTGCACTTGGCTTTGTACACCTATCAGAGAGTGACTGTAGGAATCAAACCCTCGTTAAGCAAAGCAATTGTCTCCTGGGTGCCGGTTATTTCCATTCAGGCTTTTCTAGTGTTCCTGGAGATACAATGCAGGCACCGTTTCTCTTTGCATGTGGATTGTGCTAAAAGCCTTATTTCCCAGTGCAATCTATCACACCCGCCAGGTGGGAGACCCCTGGGCCTGCCGCTCTGGTTGTGCTGGAGGACAGCAGATGCTGTATTCTTCAACCTGGGCCTGCTTCCTTAGAAATGTACCCAGTTGTCAGTCGTAAATGACTGACCAGTCACACTGATCTAAAAGATCTTTGATGACAGTGTAAGATTTGCTGTCACCACTGTCAGCAGAGGGTTAGTACCCTTTCCTCCTCCTTATTCCCTGTTTCAGTGTGTTCTCCGTATACACACCCTCCAGATACCAGATCCTCTCCTAATTATATATCTCCCACCAGGTAAAAAAGTTGGTGCTCCTCTGCTCTGCACAGACCTTTTACCTCTCCGGACTATGCCCGCTTCTGGGAGGTAGAAGTTTTGTGTGTTTTTTCTCCCTGAGAGAACAGCACTTTCCCTGATACTAGCCATAGCAGCCACTACATGGGGCTTTTGTTTTGTACCTTTGTGAACGAAACATTAGGTGCAAAGAGTGAAAGTCAACAATATTACAACTCTGCAATTCCATGTTCAAGGTGGGAAGAAGAAATGGAAGGGATGACATCAGTCTAATCATTTTCTTGCATGAGGAAAAAACAAAAGCTTTCCTCATGCCCCTAATAAATTGCCACTAAGAACATTCTGTTTAATTAAAATTCACATAATAAAATAAACCTACACTCTATATTCTAAACACTAAAGAAAGTCACATGTAGAGCTAGGGCTAAAGAAATACATATAGCTAGGTACAGTTAAATGCCTCACTAACATTTAACTATTCTCAGTCACTGTAACCCAAACTCACGATTTCCCTGAGCTTAAGTAGATCTCAACTTCAATATAGAGCCTTCCAGGCTTGTCTATCTGAAGTAGTTGAGGATGTTTCCAGTGACAATGATCTTTGCCTGCTGGTTCTCAATTTAAAAGGGGGGAAGGACCTTATTTGCAGAGAATAAAAATCTATTTACTTGCCTAAGTTGCACTTTCTCATCTAACCTAAAACATACACAGAGAAGTAAAAAAAATGTGATACCACTGTACCTAAACAAGGATTTCACTGCCACTTCTCAGATCCCCACAACTTCCCTCGATGTACTCTGGCTTCAGTTGGCCTTTTTTTTTTTTTTTAAAGTCCTCACCTGAGGATATGTTTTTATTAATGAGAGAGAGAGAGAGAGAGAGAGAGAGAGAGAGAGAGAGAGAGAGAGAGAAACATCAATTGGTTGCCTCCTATACGCACTCCGACTGGGGATCGAACCTGTAACCTAGGTATGTGCCTTGAAGGGCAATCAAACCCACAATGTTTTTGATGTACAGGAGGATGCTCCTACCAACGGAGCCACCTGGCCAAAGCCAGGCTGCCTTATTTTTAAGATGGATCTCTTTCCTCAGAACCCTTTTAAAGGAAAAACTCATTCATACACAACATTCATAGTACTAAAGTTGAAATATGAGATTTTTTTCACCCTTTACTATCATGTTTATAGTGCATTTTATCTACCAAAGTTATTTCATAACTTATGGAACTTACCATAAATACAGCTCTTAGTAAGGACATGAAAAACCCATCCAGTAAGCCCTCCTAAGGAAGTGATAGAAAAATTCCCCCCAAATGCTTCCTGCTTGGAAAGTCAGCTAAAAGTTCAGGGTGAGGAAGTGACACCAAATGTTTGGCAGTTTGAGATGTGTTTCTGTCCAGGGGCTGCCCATGCGCAGAGCTGGGGGAGGGACCTGGACAGGCCTCAGAAGCTCCTCCAGTCCCTCGGAATGCCAGGCCTGGGTGGGGTCGGGGAGCGGGAAGAGGGGGAAGCGGAAACTGTGGCTGATTTCATGCTCCTCTGGCTTGCCTCCTGGATGCTAGGCACAATCCAGAGATGCCCTGGCAGCAGTGGGAGCAGCTGGATAGGTTAAGAAAGGCCTTTTGTCCCTGCCTTTCACTAACAGGCCAGTTTTGGGTGACAGATGTAACATAGATGAGCAGGACTTCAGGCAAGTCCAGAATGATCTTATCCTTGATTAGCAAGCTTCGGGTTTTGTTTGGCATTTTTTAGACAGAAATAGAATTTTTTAGACAGAACTTTTTATTCCATGGATGTTTTGAGGACAGCTTCAGCCCCTTCTCCTAATAAAACACTTAACTTTCATTTTAATACATATCACTAAACACTGTTATGTATTTGGTTTACCTTTAAAGAAAGATCATTATTAAGAATGTCTCCAAGGAAATCATGGAGAATAAACTCTCTCAAAATCTCATTTTATGTGCTGTTAGAAATAACCATGTACTTTTTTTCCATCTCAGTCATTCTGGGAAAAATAATTGTGGCCAAGGATGATGTGGAAAACTTCAGCATTAAAAATAATGCCATAGGTAATCCAAAAGGGAAATTAATTTTCACTTGGAAGGTGTTCACTCTCACAAACACTGAAATAATGAGTAAACTGGCTCTCCTGAGACCATGCCAGCTGTCCCCTGCTGCTCCTCGCTGGGCTCCGGGTGTCACGAGCCTCTTTCACTGCCCTAACTTCTGACTCGGAATCAGGAGACTTAATTAGGACATCTCTTCACACAATTAGAAACAATCTATTGTACCATTAGACACCAACTTCTCCCACTAAGTCACTCAGAACTGGCTGATTTCCTTATCAAGTGAAACTATTATTACCACTGAAAAATAAAAATAATAATATAAGACAACTTAGAGTGCAAAGGATGTTTAAGTTGATAGTATCTCATTTTACAGCCCTCTGGGGGCAGGTAGTGTGATGGGGACCATTCACACCCAGACAGAGAGACCAGCCCCAGAGGGGATGGCTTTGTGGGAAATTTCAGGGCAATGAAAGATACCAGTGATTTCATTCTTAAACTTTATAGCAGATTTGAAAGTATGTGTAATATAAATAATTGAAATTCAGGTACTATAACATTCCATGTTATTATAGAAAAGATAGAAGTTGAAAAGAAACGAAGGTCCTGAGCAATCCAATGAACGAATAATCATGAACTGAAAGTTTCAAGTTGACTCTGAGAATGCTAGTTACAGACTGGGCTTGTTGAAACCACCTTCCTCCTTCCATGTTCCCTTCCCTCTAAATGGACTGAGTGTCTCATACCATTTTAGAGGTGATACAGGCTCTGCCACTCCAAGCTCCACACCTTAATCCTCACCCATAAAATTCATAAATATCTTCATCTGTTGGTGTTTTTCAAGAGTAGTCGCAGATGTGGACCATGCTGTGAACAATTGTAGCAGATTTTTAAAGAGTTTGCAATCCCCTCAAATAAACTATCTGACAAATAGAGCTATATGCCACAGGTTTTGGGGGGTTGGAGGTTGGGGAATGGAGGTAGAGTATCAAAACCTGAATGGGAGAGAAAGCCAAGGAGAAAAAAAAAACTTGTAAGTACATCATCTTCCCTTGGAGTGCTAACATGGAAATAAAAATTAAAGACACTAAAATGCCCCTAAGGAAAACAAATCTATGAAAACTTTTAGAAAGGGGTATATAATGGTTTATATGGCCATGACATCTAAAAATGACGTTAAGAAACATCTCTCTCCATCCTGACATTCAAAATATCTAAAAATGAAGTTTAGGACATTAACCCAATTATTTTAACTTTAAAAATACTTCTCCTGAACAAAACTAATGCAGTAGAATATCAGACTGGATGTACGAAATGCTAACGTTGCTTCTAGCAGCTATTCATAACTTCCCTGGAATGCTGGTGTGTCAGCAGGTTCCCCAGGTTCTCTGAGAGCTGGCTCCCCTAACACAAAATGACTCCTCGACTGACTGTGTATAGTTCCCCCCGTGCTCTCCCTGAATGATGGTATTAATTTTGCAATAGCTAGTGACTGTTTATGTTGACAGATTTCCTGAAGACTATTGAAGAGCACTGCCCACAAGGAATCCCACATTTTCTCTTCATTGGCGTATTCTTGTAATTTATCATTTTAACCTATGAGTTTACTCAATGAAGAGATTATTTAAAAGACTACTTGAGATATCATTTAACATAGCTAATCCAGGTCATTATAAATTTTTTTTTACCAGAAATTACTTGCTTTTGTGCATAAGTAAAAACAAATGTCCTATGTGTACAATTATTTTGATTTTAAAAGCCATACTTATTAGATAAAGACAAACTTAGGATTCTATAGTTCCCTTTAGTGATCACAAGCTATCTTCCTTATAGTCATGCCTGTCTATATATTCAATTGTATTTATAATAGTTTTATATAGGCTTGGATTTATTTCTGTATATATGTAATTATATATGGAATACACACACACACACACACACACACACACACATACATACTTGAGTATGAATAGACATAAAATAAAACTACAGACCTTGTTATAATACAAACAATTACAGGTTCAATTTAATATAATATGTCTTAAAATCAGGCCTAAAAATAGATTTATTGAAAAGATTACTGAATTGGATATAAAACATGGTTTCTATTCACCTGTTTATCACAAATTGGTTAAGTTACTTAACCTTTTGGGGCCACAGTTTTCTTATTTGTAAACTTAAAATACAAAAAAAAGATAAATACTTTACCCTTTAAATGGTAATAGGGTACCTTGTGTTGGGAAAACTGAGGCAGAATTTTCAGCATGTGTGTTTCATTTATTGACCTTCACAGATTAAGAAAAGGACCTCCACTTCCAGTAGCAATGCCAGACAAGACATTCTACTGGAAACCAACTGGATACTATATACAACATTTGGGTTTGATGTTGGATTCCCTGGAACTGGGCAAATAATCTCCAAGCCCTTTCCTCCTCTCTCTCACCCCCCGCCCCCCTAAATAAAAAGGAACAAGCTGAGTCAGCACTGGAGCTTGGAGCAACAAACAGATAAATATGTTGAGCAAGAAACAAAGGAGAGAAATGATGCTATATAATAAAAGCCTAATATGCTAAGTGTCCGGTCATCTGGTTGTCTGTTCAACCAATCAAAGTGTAATATGCTAATGATATGCTAAGGCCACTCAACCGTTCGCTATGATGTGCACTGACCACCAGGGGGGCAGACGCTCCAACTGGTAGGTTAGCTTGCTGCTGGGGTTGGGCCGATCAGGACTGAGCAAGATGGGCTGAACCCACCCTGTAGCCCTCCCATGGTCCCTCCCCGGCTGGCCAACCTTCTGTCTCTCTCCCTGGCCTTGATCATGCACCGGTGGGGTCCTGCGGCCTGGCCTGTGCCCTCTCGCAATCCAGGACCCCTTAGGGGATGTTGAAGAGCCGGTTTCAGCCCAATCCCACTCAACACAGGAGCTTCCCCCTGGTGGTCAGTGTGCTCCCACAGGGGGAGTGCCGTTCAGCCAGAAGCCGGGTTCATGGCTGGCAAGTGCAGCAGCGGTGGCAGGAGCCTCTCCCGCCTCCGCAGCAGCGCTAAGGATGTCCGACTGATGGCTTAGGCCCCCTTGCTGTGGGTTCCCGGACTGCGAGAGGGCACAGGCCGGGCTGAGGGACCCCCCCCACCCAGTACACGAATTTCGTGCACTGGGCCTCTAGTGTTATACTAAGAGACAATGCCAGTAAAAAACTGAAGCTAGGATTAACATCAAGGAAGGAGAATTGAACCTGAGATGCTGTATTAGGTCAGATTGGTAGTCTCCCCAGCTCCTCTCAGAACAAATCAAATCTCTATAAGAAAGCATCCTACGATATATCCCATCAGAGTCCCACAATTTATCCTTAGGCAAGTATTAGTTCAAAATTAAAGACATCAAGCACATGAGGAGGTAAGCCATCTATATTAGAACTGTCGGAAATAGAATAGCTGCTTATGAAGTACTTAAAGAAACAAAGTATGGAATCAAAAGAATGAGCAAGCAACAGAAAACTACCAGGGATAATCAGGCAGTTCTGAAAAATAACAAAGTGGAATCTACACTGAGTGGCCAGATTATTATGACCCCTGACGTTTGTAGGCAAATTAGCCATACACTGCATCGTATGGGATATGGAAGCCGAAGGCCTGTTCGAACACCTTTGCTGTCTGCAGTTACCAAGATAAAACTTCTCCAATTCACACAGGAACACAAGGATTGGACAGTCGAGTATTGGAAAAAAGTCATGTGGTCTGATGAATCATGTTTCCAGTTGCATCATGCAGATGGCAGAGTGAGAATTTGGCGGAAACAGCATGAAAGCATGCACCCCACATGCATGAGTACAACCCTTCAAGCTGGTGGGGGCAGTGTTATGGTTTGGGGCATGTTTTCCTGGCATGATTTGGGCCCTTTAATTCGTGTGGAACAACGTCTGAATAGCACAACATACCTAAGTATCGTTGCTGAACAAGTTCATCCTATCATGTTGATGGCGTATCCCAATGGAGATGGCTTCTTCCAACAAGTTGCATCATGCCATGGTGCTCGTATTGTGCAGGAGTGGTTTCAAGAACATGAGGGAGATTTTACCTTGCTTAGGTGGCCCCCACAATCACCAGATTTTAATCCAATTGAGCATTTGTGGGACCAAGTTAAAAGAGCCATCAGGCAGCTAGTTCCACAACCATCAAATCTCACAGAACTGGACAGTACTATTCATCAGGCATGGTGTCAGATTCCTCGCATCACCTTTCAACATCTCGTGGAGTCAATGCCAAGAAGAATCGCTGCAGTATTGAAGGCAAAAGGTGACCCAACGAAGTACTGATGGGGTGGTCATAATAATCTGGCCACTCAATATATATATATATCTCCCACGTTCAAAGGCTGTTAAATCACATTGTTTACTCATGTCTTCAGAAAAAAATCACTTCTGTCATGGTAAACAACTTGCTTCCCTATTTATAATGGTCTGGCCCTCTAGCAACTTCAGCGTGAAATTATAGCTAATTTGCCTACAAATGTCAGGTGGTCATAATAATCTGACCACTCAGTGTATACGTAAAATATGTAAATGTTGAAAGAAAAGGACAAAACATATTAAAAAGCACATTTGCCACATGTGAAAATAGATTTAATGAAGATATAAATGGATAAATTAACTAAAATATAATCCAGAAATAAAACACCTGGAAAATATAAGAATAATGCAAAACATTGAGGATAAAATGAGAAGGTCTAATAATGTCAAATGAGAGCCATAGAAGGAGAGAATCAAGCTAATCAAGGAGTGATAACAGCTGAGAAATTTCCAGAAATGCTGAAAGCTATTAAACCACAATTTCAGAAAGCGTGCATACACACAAAAATCAATGCCTAGATATCACCTCGTAGTGATCTGTAGAGCACCAAAGACAAAAGTTTTTAAGGCAGCTAGTGAAAAGACATCCCAAAGTAATGATCATTTTATGGATAGCAGACTGCTCAAGAATAACTGATACCACTGCATCTACCTATAACTTCTTCCCCTATCCCATTTCCTTCTCTTCCCTGAGGGAGGAGCTCTCCTGTATGTTTACCCTTCCTTTTCAATATTCCAAATACTTTTATAATGTATGAATATATCCATAAATAATATATTATTTCCATTTGCTTTTTTAATTATGTAAAAGAGATATCATACTACATCCAGCAGTCCCTCTTTATCCAGGGTTTCTCTTTCCAAGGTTTGTTACCCAAAGCTAACTGAAGTCTGAAATATTACCAATAAATGGAAAGTTCCAGAATTCAACACACATAAAATTTTAAATTGTGTGCTGTTCTGACTAGTGTGATCAAATCTTGCCCTATCCTGCTCTGTCCTGTCAGGACATGAATCACCCCTTTGTTCAGCATATTCACTCTGTATGCCATTAGTCGTTGAATGACCATCTCCATTACTAGATTGGTTAGCAGAAACTTATGGGTGCTTAGTTCATTTCCAGACTTTTTTCTTTTGTGTGTGTGTGTGTGTGTGTGTGTGCGCTAGAGAGAGGGAGAGAGCACATTCACTAACTTTATTATTGTATTTTGTTATAATTGTCCTATTTTATTATGTGTTGTTATTCTCCTACTGTGCCTAATTTATAAATTAAACTTTATTATAGGAAAAAACATAGTATACAGGGTGAGGCAAAAGTAGGTTTATAGTTTTGAGTATTTGAAAGTTTATTTTTGTATTATTATTTATTAATTATAGTATTATTTTTCATATGAACAACCATAATTTTACTGTTGCCCCACCTATACATAGGGATCAGTATTTTTTATGGTTTCAGATTCTACTGGATCTTGGAATATATCCCCCCAAGAATAAGAGGGTGGAACTCTTTTTTTTCATTCAACTTACGATTTTTAAGTATTCAACCCCATTGTTTTGTGTTATTACAGAGCACTCATTTTAATATCATTATTTAGATATAATTTACATATAATAAAGCATATATATAGTTCAACAGCTTTCAGTAT